TAACTTACTGTTATTAAGAAAGTGCAATTGTATGAATTTTTAGAAATAAAAAAGGAAGCCTTTGAGTTTTTATAAGAGTGCAGACATTACAAGAATATGTATATGACGTGGCTGATGGACTGTTACATCAAAAATATCAAATATGTATTAAATTATGTTGATGTACTTTGATCCGTTTAAAGTACTCTTTAAAACCAGTTAAGATAAATTAGCAAACTTAAATTGATTTTTCGGTTTTAGTCTCCAATAATTATTAAATTTTGACCAAATGTTATTTATCAATATCAGCTTATTGGCTGGTAAATTTATATATAATTGGCTTATTGAGTATTCTATACACATTGTCCTACGTATTTTCTCGTAGACATTCTTTACAAAACCAAGCACATTTGACTAATACCGACACTGGTTTCTTTATTGGGGACTCTTTCATTACTACGCCCAGTAATCTGGCATTAAATTAATTGAATTGTCAAATAAAGTCTTATTTATAAGATAGAAGTATTAAATGTTGAACTTCGCTTACTAGTAATTATGTCATTGTCGGCTGTGAACAAACAAATTTTTTAATTACGAATTTAAAAAAGAAATGTAATTAAGGGGCATAATTAAGTAGGGAAAATTTTTTTTCAAGTCTTCTTGTTATTTCGGATTTTTTTCACATATTACTGTTGTCATTTTCATTTGCAATGTCGGTGCGGCGATATTTTGAAATGCAATTGCAATGAAGTTGTTGAAACGTGGGGAATTTATTATGTCCTCAAAGGTTGAAAGCATAATAATTAATAATGAGAGCGAAAAGTTCACTCACGTACATTCTATCCTATGTTAACCAGTTTGTTAACGTGACTCCACTAAAACATCAATAAAGTAATTACGAGGCGTTATTAAAAAATAAAAACACGAATAGTGATTCTCTGGGCTCGCGTGATAATTCATTAGGCACTGGTGAGGAAATTAGAGAGGCGCGGTAACGATCTTTGACACGCCCCACACTCATTCGGCTCTCCTTCACTGATAGCCGCACACGTACACGGCCGCACAGTCACATACGCTCTCACACATACACTACCAATTGATGAATCAAAAAGAGGAAACTAATACATCGACCCGAGCCGAGCACGAGTTGAATTGAATTTATATATTAATATATTCAAACCATTTTAAATTTGCGGCGCTAAATGAAATCGTATACAGAATCCACATAAACGTCCTCGGCAAGATTCTCTCAAATTGGACACAACGAGTACAGTTACAGTTTTTAATGTAATCAACACCGCTAGGCTTGCGAAGCATAAACGTAAACCTCTTATTCGGGTGAATGACGAATTATCGTCTGAAAATAGCTTTTTAGTAGCGGCTTATACGAGTCGTTGGCCAAAAGTAGATGTTTGTCAAAATATCCGAGCGAATTTAACTTATGTGGACCCCTGTGGCTCTGAATATCATTAGGAGCGCCATGGCCACTGGATAACATTTTAAAATGCGCAATATAGTCTCCATGTGAAAATCTCAAATGCATGTGCACATTTGTTATGGGTCATGTTGAGGCATAGAACTGTGGTAGGGCCACGCAGCAGCCTCGGCCGTTCCACGAATGGTCAGGCTCGTCCGGGTAAGTACCACGACCTCACAGAAGACCGGCGTGAAGTGGTAGTGTAATACTTTCACGTTTCGTCTGGTGAGTGGGGTAGCCGGTAGAAACGTGAAAGTATGATACTTACACTTCACGTGTGGCCTTCTGTGAGACAGTGGTAGTTCCTCAGACGAGCCTGTACATTCGTGCAATAGCCGAAACCGATCTGGGACCCTACCACAGGTCTAATCTTCTACCAATAGCATAACCATAACCGTTAAATATTTATAGTAAAATGTTCAAGTATTTTACGGACTTGATTCGGTATTACGATTAATTCCCGATGCTTTCAAACACTTGTACAGGCTTCATGGTCACGCGTATGTTGTCCCGAAATTTTATTAAATAACGAAATGCATTTGCATAAATACAAGAAATCCTAAATACTTATTAAAATTCAAAGTCAATCAATATGTAAGCATTTTGATGAATAACAAATTAGAATTAGTGAAATATCTCCTCGTAAAATCACAATAATGACACTATAACGTTTATCGTGTAGATAAGTTCGTGTCGTTTGACGTTATTTGCATTTTAATTTCCATGTTTTTCTTTTACCACGGCGTTTTACTTCGGAATTCCGCCACTTTTGATTTCGTGGAGAAACCAGCCTCATGTGTCGTAAAAAGTATTATTATATTGATGTACGAGTACGTCAACTTTTCTGTGATTCTCATTTTTGATTGGATATTTTATTGGGCAGTTTTCTCAAGTTTTAGCAGCACTAGCTATATTTAATATTTAACATTTCACTCGTTCACGCGTTTGTGTGTAAAACTGCTGTAATGGTAACACCGCAGTAACAGGAACTGGATAAGGTTTTGCAATGGAATTTTCTTGCAAATAAGCTGAAAGCAAGCTCGTTATTAGCACAATACTAATGCTTCTTAGTAATCAGCTTTGTTTTATTTTCAAAACATAACTTTTACGCAGCAAGGCGTCAGTGATACGTAAGCAAGCCGTTCGGTGTAATCACCTGGAAATGCCTACGTGTAAATGTAAACTGTGCACACAACAAGGTAAATCTTGTTTCGGCTGCGCTGTGAAACCTTTGAAAGATTTGTCAGGGGCTTAGAGCTATAAAGTGCTGCCTGTTACTTATGTTATTTGATGTGATCCCATTAAGTTACGTTAGTGTCGTTGTAGTTAGTCGATTTTGCATAATTTATAGGGAAATATTACCGCAATTTTTACATTCACAGGTGAATAACTGTAACTTGTACTACGAACATTAATATTACCAAAGGACTAACATGTTACTAACATTTCGAAGACGTTATATAGACCATTGATATTGTGTTTTTGGCGGAAATAAAGTGTAGCTAAAAGATGTACACATTTTGCAGAGACAAAATCAACAATTACATATCACGTAAACCATTTTAAAAGAAGAGTAATTCCTTGCCAAAACACGAACTATGGTCGACCTCATTTATAGCAATCGTATGCATATATCAGCTTCCATTACCGAGACCTGAAAAACTAACCCTGAAAATGTTTAGCAGGACAACACACAATATGATGCCCACCAATGTAGGGAATATCTCTAGTTTTGCCTAAAAGGGAGGCTACATAATGCGTTAGTCATCACAAATGATTACCCACAGAGAACTTTACACAGCCTTTGTCGAGGATTAGATTATAATGTTAAACAAGACAAAAATGTAATTCACATATGCATTCTGCTCGCAATCGTATAATTTGTAACTACGGATTGAAGTGTGGATATATTGGAGCTCCGTTATTGTCGTAAAGGATTACCGCAGTGCAAATGAGGTTAACAACGTAAGAAATGTTTTGCGACAAACTTTATGACAAAAATCGAGTTCATTGTCGACCCTCTTAATTTAGTTTTGTATTGAAACAAAATCCTTTGACGAAATGATTATTAACAAAGTCAAATATAGAAACCTAAAATAAACGCCTGCAATAATGTTTATCAGCTTTTCCATAACATGCTCAAGGTATTTTAATGTGCCGTGTACAATTAGACCCAAGTGCGTTTACAAGCTCGAATCTGAATAAACGACTGCGGCCGACGAAATTAACGCTACCGCACGATAAAAATCCGGAGGCAAATTTATTAATTAGCGCACGTTAATTACATCATCAGCGGCGTAAAGCCATGGGCACACCAAGCGCGCTCCTATCGGCGCGTCTCATCGCACGACAGCCGACCAGACAATTAATTACCAACGTAATGTGATGAGGAATAACCGACGATATCGCTATAATAGATACCTGTGCGCACATTCGTGTAATTAATTGGCCGAATGCCAGTTCTCTATGTACGTAGCTGTGCGTACAATGAATCGAATCTGATGAATAAAACGGTTGGAGCATGTTCTACCGGCCCGCGTCGGTTTTCGGTTATTACGGAGACGTTTATCATATTTTTATTGGCTTTGTAAAACGATTCATATAATTTCTCTGCATATTTTTCCCCGTCAGAGCAACCGTACTTCGTGGTTTGTATTTCATACTCTTGTCTCTTCTTTCTTTATATATATGCGTTCATTGTTCCCTTATTTTAATTAATTTATGCGTTTTAACATCACACATCTGTTTTCTACCTTACTTATGAATGTGCAACGTCATCCCCGTAGCTATTTCCCAATCTTGGAAGTTCCTGTCGTAGATTTTCATTTACATATTCGTGCACCAATGTACGTCATTCCGTACATCTGCTTTCCGATATGAATTACTTGTTTTGCATAATTTGGACGCTATTTCGAGACACGGTACGCTTTTAATCGATGTTCCCCTGCTTGGTTAATGCGTTCGGATTATTAAGTATTCACAAACAGCCTGTCACATTTTCTTAGGTCTATTCTCATCATATAGATAGTTATTAGAGAAGGCATTTGGCCAGCAGTGTGGCATATGTGTTTAGGCTTTTAATTTACTTTACCTTACAGCAACTGGTAGAATTAAGTACAAACTTAAGCTTAAATGATCTTAGACATCCGTAATTTAAAGTATTACCTCGAACTTTGTAAATTATTTTATGATTTTAGAATTAACTTATTTGATTTATGAGGATCCTGAGCAAATCTTCCTTTCAGCAATATATTTTCATAATCTGGGTATTTAATACCTCCATAACATCAATACTGGTTCCGAACATAACGAGAAAACACTAATATTTCAAAAAAATTCTAGCCTTAGCAATTTCTTTAATAATAACTCAGCATATTGAATACCGGCGTTAACTTGGATTATTTAATATGTATTAATATTTTTTCAAATCGTTGTTGATCTCCATAGGCGGGTTGAGCACTTAACATCAGGTAAATCGCCCGAGCGTGCCACCTTCTTACCTACGGGATGAAAAAAAATTGACGAACGTTCGTTTTTTTCTCAGATCGTTCTGAACTCGATGCATCGGTACCAGCCGAGGATACACCTGGTAAAACTCCGGGAAGGCGGCGGTCCTATAACCGACCTCTCGCGGGAGAATCACAGGACGTTCGTCTTCCCAGAGACCGTGTTCACGGCGGTCACCGCCTACCAGAATCAGCTGATCACCAAGTTGAAGATAGACTCCAACCCTTTCGCGAAGGGCTTCAGGGACTCGTCGAGGCTCACGGATTTCGACAGGTGAGAATCTTTGGAAGCTTTTCTACGTAGTGGTTTAGAAAATATGCCAAAAAGTTATTTTACTCTAATTGATTTATTCCTCACTTTTGAATTATTTGTTCACCTTGCAAGATAGTTATCGTCTCGTATATTTCGACCGTATGACAACAAAATTTCTACCGGTATATTGCAAACCAATGATTTTTGTGCCTCCCAATTCTTCATATCTTCATCGAGGGATATTCTATTTAGAGTTTAGATTGTCGTAAATTCTATATTTTTGGACAGGTTTAACTATTTACTTTTATTTATTAACAAAAAAAATATCTAATGGCTGGGACTAGTTTTATTTCGGCGGACTAGTTTAATTTTCGATTATTCCAATAGAGTAATCCGTCTGTTCCTTTTTGCAGTGAACCTGAAATTATTTTGAAATTTAGAAGCGGAGGATACGAAATAAGATCCAATGATTTATTAGTAATAAGAAAAATATGTTGTATTGCATCATGACAATGAATAATAAGCGTATTAAGCACGGTGGTCGGACGTCCATAAAAAGGGACCTGCCTATAAGGCCTATCGAATTGGCCGCAAGGTTACTCGCTTGAGTGACGTACGTCGCCCACGTGTTGCTAAAGTGGTCGGAATCGATGCGTTACCGCTCGAGGCGAGCTTGATAAATTGGCAGGTTATTAGCAGCAGTTGAAAGGCATTAGGTCGGCCGCCCTGCAATTTGCGCGGCGGGCAGTTTTGCCATGAATAAAACATTAAAACGCACACCTACTCGCCCGATTTCGACCGATACGCCAGAAAGATCCCAGAAACCCTTCGGCGTCGACCCTGTTCGAATTTACCTTTCATCTAACAAAGGAATGAATTCTTGATATAACGCTAAATGTCGTTACATGACTCGTATTCAAAATAAATATCTTTAGCTCGTCTCTCAATAGGAACTGACGTATGTTTTCTTTTTTATTATTATTAAATACATAATAAACAGTTTTAATATTTTAGACAAAGTATTGAAATTTGAAACAATGAAATAAAATGAGTACTTGAGTGAGTGAGTGAGAATAAGTCGAAAGCAAATTTTAACTGTTCGTCTATCATTAGTGTTAAAGTTTTAGTAATGGACAAGAATTTTACAAAATTGCAAACAATAAATATCATCTGCCGCATGGTGCGTAATTGTCTAATTTTGAATGCACTACGGAGTTACGAAATTAAGAAAACGATTTACCCGAACGCAGTAAATTTGTTTATGGTAAACTATCAGTTTTAATGGTCTGGTAATATTGCCGCTAATTCAATACACCGAGATCGTAAAATGCAAACGCTTTACTGTTAATAAGGAATAAAGACAAAAATTATTTGCAGTTGCACACGGTGGCGCGTTGGCTAGTCGTGAAGAACGTAGCTCGATTCGAAATTTAATTGAGCTACGTTTTTCAACGCTTCGCATGTGTTGCCGGTGTGTGTGAAACACTTGTGATGACCCCACTTACGTCACGCTGCCGAAGCACGCTTGTACCATCACAATGGATGTTGTACGCACGCCGTGAGAAACGTCTTTGGCTTCGTTATCTGATCGCTCCAATATATTGAACTTAATATTTATTGTTTAACTCCGTGTTAAAGTAAAACACATTCAGTTGTCGGTTGCTGTAGACCAGTGTGTCACATTTCACGAATACATATGTAAAAATGATGTAGTCTTTACGAAACGGTCGTCCTTTCATTGTTTCCCTGAGATATCCGCATCTCGTAATTAACAGACAACAAATATTATTTTTTATTTGAAAAGATGTACAGTGGGCTGGTGGTTCACCTGATTTTGAATGATAGCTGCCGCACATGGACATTTACAGAACCTGAAGAAAAAAAAGGTGGTCCGGTTACTTCGCTCACCAGATGAAACGCGAAACTATTATACTTCCAATTCACGCTGGTCTATCGTAGTGGTACTTTCCCGGACGAGCCTGTCCACACAGGCTTCGCCTTACCACAGATAGTTCAAATAATAGTTTTATGTACTCCATATAGACACACGCAAAATTCATCTTTGTTTAGACATGAACAAAAAACGGAAATACTCTTATACAATTATCATGTGCATGAGGGGATTTACTAACAGCTCAAATGCCGTGACTTGTTCCATCTCAAATAATCTGCGGGCACAATACAAGCTTCGTGTAAAACTGAGTTTTTCACTTATTAAATGTGGCAGCGACTACTACCAGTGACACTCGATTGATACAAAGCACCGTCAAAAAGCTATAAGAAAACTCTCTCACAATTCAACTATACATATCAGGAACTTGCTGAAACAAGCACAGTAAAACAATTGACGAAAATATGTTAAATTTGTTCATAGGGAATTCGTTTTCACCCAAACAAAAAGATAAACACGAGGTAAAAGAAACTCGAAATTACCGCGGACGAAGGGGAGCGCGGGCCGGGGGGTCATTCGAGAGCCGGTTGGCCGTTCGAGTTGGCACGTACGCGGCGCGGTCGGGCGAGGTAGGTCGACGGGCGAGCCGGCGGCGCGTAATCACAGGGCCCGCTCTCATTATGCCCTAAACGACAAATTAAAGCGCGTTTCTATTATCCGGGCATCGGCGATGCCCCGGACCGGTCGCCCGCGGCACCGCGCCCCGCCCGAAAGCGAGAGCCGAGTGTCGAAAACCCGTGGTAATTCTCGACGAGGCTCCCAATGACGTGTTGAATTGCCTTCAGTTATACGTTGATGTAATTATCGGGCCGTTTGTTTATTTGTGAGGAATGTAAATGCGGAATAGTATTTATGTTCGGTCTAATGTAATTATGTTTGACGATAAATTTGTATGGACATAATAATCGAATGACGTTAAATTTTATCACCACCGTAATAGTCAGTGGAAAATAATCTTGCACATTTATAGCCCTTAATGACCGTAACCCGAAAAATTAAATAATATGAATTATGTTTTTAACGTACACTTACCATCATCAAAAATATAATAAATTATTAATTTATTTAATATTTTTATCTTTTTCTACCGTATTAAAAAGTGATTTTTGTGCAATTAGTCCTTGTCCCGTGTGAGAATCGAACCTCCCCATCCCCGATCCCCCGCAAGTGCGCCATCGAGGCATCACGACTTTACTATAAAGATAAGTGAAACGAAAACTTTCGATCCCTTTTTAAAGGTATTGCATGCATATAATTACATTGAAATTCTATAGGCTGCTATATCTTTCTGTATCATACGCTCTATATCACCAGTCAGATTCAATTATGTAAGTCATATAATGTAAAGCGGTACAATTTTTAAACGCCGCTAAGTATGGACATGCGTCATCTTTAAATTAAAACATTAGTGAAGACTGTCGCAAAGAATTTAGAATGTCGGATGAACTGAATGAATCTGAGAAAAATATTAATATCATTTAATTGAGTGATGACATAAATGAGCTTATAGGTATTTGAAACACAGACCCGAATAATTTTCTTATTCTATTGGAACGATAATAAAAAAAAAACATTAAAAAAAGATATTTTTAAACTTCGAACAAAATAACAATATAGGTTGACTCGCATAAGTGCTAACGTGATGGGCAGAATTATTGGACCTATTAATAATCCAATCTCGGAGCGCGTCAGTGCGCGGCTACCGATTTGTATTAATTGATACGGCGTCGGCGTCGGCGTTGATAGTCGGGCGCGCGGTGATTGAAGGCTAATTCGAGATGTTATCGACGCAATTACCGCGCTTCCTAGCCGGCTACCGCTCTCACCGCGCCTCAAACACGCCCGTCCGGCAATTAGAAAGGTATATTGTTGCTCTTTCAAACTATCAACGAAGAGATATCTCGTATTTACGCGAATATAACACATCGGTAGATGAAACGGTTAACTAAATCATTCATATGTATGTAACAAAAGGCCTTCACGATGAAGCTAAGCCTTATTGCGAGCAATATGTAATCACCAATTTTTAATTTCATTTATTCATTCATTCAACAGCTCTGATGAAGTCATTATTTCTTCAATTTAAGTCACATTAGGTGTTCGTTTGGCAAAAGTTAATAAAAGCAAATAATTGCTTAAACCTATCTACCATCATCCTTCTGCCCTAGGTGGGAGGGTACAACACGTGAACTATGTTGTAAGTGGTTTTGGTACAACTTCCTACAACCAACCGCCTGCCTCACGTCAAACCTTCCTGGGAACAATGTCTCAAATCCGGAACAATTATCTGTCGATCACAAAAATACTTGTCCCGTGTGGTAATCGAATCCCATGGCCACCTCATCAACAAGAGTCACCTACTTAAACCTCACAATAAGAATAAGAAATGCCATCATTGTTCAGTACATGTCATAAAGGCATAATAAGGCCGACATGCTTAAAACTTTCCTAAATACAAATAGCTAGAAGGAAGTTACAATACAATACAATTACAGCAATATAATCTACAAACTAAGCTTGAGTCAAAATTTCAATTACTTTTTACATCGCGAATAGTATTTAAATATCACCGAAAAGGTGTAGTCCGTATTGTAGCAGCCCTAAAATCTATGAACCCTATAGCAGTAGAGTGCAGAGACCGGGGATGGTTGACTAATTTATCACTGAATCGTGGATATTTTTTATCTTGTTATTTTAACAAGACATCGTCACGCCAACTCCATTATAAGTGAGTATTGGATTTTTTTTGGAGTAAATCATTGAAACTTTAATAAGTTGTTATTAGAGGCACGCGATTGTAGAAAATTCTAGATAAATTTTTCAAATACGTACGTTTGCGGTTTCCGCAATGTCCCTAAACACAATCTCAGCTCTCTCACATGCAGCGTAATGAAAGGCCAAATAATTAGAGACTCGCGACATCCTCGAGGGCCGGAGGAATAATCCCATTTTCAGTTCTTTTTAGAGTTCCGTACCCAAAGTCTAAAACGGAACCCTAATACTAAGACTTCGCCATCTGTCTGTTTGTTTGTCTGTCCGTCTGTAACCGGGCTGTATCTTATAAACCGTT